CTTCATAACCCATTCCATTCAGTCCATATGCATTAACTATAAAGACCAATATACAAACAAACAAGCTACAAAGTCAATTTACTCATAACATTGAATTCGGCAGAATCAGGTTTGTTAATTTTGTCAAAGATATCTTTTGCTTCGTTCACACATGCCACTTTGCCCTGATCAATCATAATAATGTTCTTAACATAAATAAGAAAGTCAGATGTCACTTACCCACATATGAATTAAGGTAGTTCGAAGTTGTAGATTAGATAACATTGAAGATGGAATTTGACTCGCAATCATTCGACAACGTGATTGAAGTCCAAGTTCAGCACACGCATCGCTTACGAGAACAAAAATTATTGGATTTGCTGCGATATTTTCATTCTTCATTTTATCGTATAAATTGATAGTTTTCATAGGCATACGATGATCATTATAATACTTCATCATTTGTCCATAATTAACTACAATTCTTTTTATTCGGTCGAATACTTGTTCTGCATTGAAGATATCACCACATTTGATAAACATGTCAAAGGCACTGACAGCAGTATGCTCATCTTTGCGGTGAATTTCTGACATGGAAAACCATACTTGTTTACCAAAATCCAATGCTTCTGCTGTTCGAACTTGAGCACAGCTGTTAAACAAAAGACTGAGAAGAACTTTATCTGAATTATTATTCACACTTTTGAACGTTTCAATTGCTTTAGCAGGCATGTTGTTCCGTATGAAACCTTAAAGAAGACAGAAACTTCCTTATAGGTACAAATAGATTGAATAAGAAAGATAACCTTTCATCATTGTACGATAATGAACCACGTCTTTTTTTATAGATGAATCGAAAACACACTGAGCATCGTTCACTCGACCACATTGCACTACATGATTTTAACTACATCAACGATAATCCGTAGATACAATGCAAATTTACTATAGAGATGTATAAGTGATGTCTGAATATAGATGTCATTTCTAAATTGAGTTGAGAGTTTCTTGTGAATATTTTGACCACGTTCAAGAGAACTTAATTGTGCACAAGCTTTGAGTACTTGAACAATAATTCTATCTGTTAATAGTTTAGAGTTGTGATATTTGTCGAAGAGGTCAAGTGTTTCAGTAAATTGTTTTCTCTCGTTAAATCTTCTCATTTCCAGTTCAATGTTCAATTGAGATGATCTTCCTATTGTCCGTAGAATGGTGAAATAATTGGATTTTACTTGACGAAATAGAATAACAAATGAGATAGTCATCTCAAACAAGGAATCAAGAGAAGTAGATGAATGGAGTGTCAATGCTTCTACAAAACTAAGAATCAAGGCAAATAATTGAAGAAAAGTTTCGTGTTGAATATGACTTTTTCGATGTAAGACAGTGAATTATGAATGTATTAAACGTTCAGAACACGATTAGCTGAAAATTATCGTGTGAGAAAGTTGCCTTTTCAAGCCCTCGTTTCGTTTAAAAATAGATGTCAGGTATTACCAGTTGGAACAACACAGGATGCGGGAAAGAGTGAGTGTATGGGCATTGATGTAGACGAAAAGTCTTCCGAAGTGGGATTACAGAAGTAGCTGTTGTTAAAAACTTACTGGTCGGCAAAGTGTACCGGACTCCTTCTCGTTCATACTTCGCATCGTTGTGAAGCGAGTTGCTATACAGAGAGACCAATCATGTTACTCATGACTTTCCGATTCATATGCGTTTGTGTACACACGGCAACGAAGCAAAAGATAACAAAATAAAACAAAGATGGATACCTTCAAATAAATACTTCACGTATGCTTTTTTTTGTGCACGTTCTGACGCTTGTTTTCATTCGTATTCTCTTCTATCGCATTTAGACGCTAAACAACTTGCATTGCATCAGAGAAAAGGATCAAGTTTAATTTACGGATACTTCAAACAATTCTATTCCAGTATTATGAATTCCGATCAGTCATCCAAAATAGTTCTCGATAGTTGTCATTCCGAAGATCTTCAGCGAGATTTGGCGCAAGATCATTATGCGAAAGAAATCGATTCTGTACTGAAGCGTCCTGTATTCAACATTGTGATCATGGGTCCGCCACGAGTTGGCAAAAGTTCATTGATAAATGCTATGTGTAACGATGCTTCGCTAGCAGAAGTAGGCAACAGTCTCGACTCATGCACAAAGGAAATGAAGAAATATGAGTTGAAATGTCATAAATTTCAAATCGAAGGATTTCCACCAATTGAGATCAATATTTTCGATACACCGGGTGTTGAATCGTGGGAAGACGGCGACGCTGAAAATCGCTTTTTAGAATTCATTGGTAAAACCAACCCGATATGCGTGTTTTTCTGTGCTGCGCCCGGCAGTTTCGCAAAATTACCATCACTTCGAAAATTATTAGAATATTGCAAACAGAGAAAGATTATTTGTGCCTTAATTTGTACAAATATGTGGTCAGGCAAAAACCGAAAGAAAGTTATTGAGGAACTTAAAAACGAATTAAAGATATTTGGTGATGAACGGGAAGAACAATTTCATCAAGTTGGTTCATGTACAACACATTCGGTCACGTTTTTTGGCAATGGAGCACTCTGTACTGCGGTGAACACCGCTGAGTATATTGACAAAGACTTAGGTATTCAGAAACCTGTTCAAGGAGTGGATGAACTCATAGAAAGTGTCATGACATTACTAGATAATACGAAATTACTTGGCTGGTGTTTAACTGTTCTTCAAAATCGTAATTATTCGACGATAATTAGCCAGAAAGTGTATGGATTTTTACAATTACGCTTCGCTGAACTTCAGAGTGTACGAGATATGTCTGCTTCGGAAATTGGAAAAGACATACTTGTCTTGGCTGTTAATACATATTTGAACTCAATGAGAATGTAACCGTGATACCAAGTTTTGCTTTTTCGTTGTCTCGTTTATCTGTAGGCTTCATGTAACAAAACGTGTGCTTGTCGACTGAACCCGATACGTTTATTTCAGATAAAAACTTCGAATGACTGAAACTCACATAGTAATCAACATTGTGCTATGCGGAGCACCTCGTGTTGGGAAAAGCAGTCTTATTAATGCTATTTGTCGACAAGAATTATCTGAACAGAATACGAGTTTAGATAGTTGTACCGAACACCTGATCAAATATGAAATGGAATATATGAAAAACGATCGATTATACAAGACGACATTCTGGGATTTACCTGGTATCGAATCGTGGAATGAAAATGATGTTCGTAGTCGGATGAACAATTTAATCGAAACAACAAAACCCTTATGTATGATATATTGTGCATCACCTGGCTCATTTGCCAAGTTGAACCATGTGGAATGGTTCGTATCACAGTGTGCTCGTCAAAACATATTCTGTGCTTTAGTTTGTACGAACATGTGGACGAATCGAAATCGACAAACTGTGCTCAATGAGTTTAAAAATATTCTTCAGAAAGTTCATCCAGATATTCAACCATTCGAAGAGAAGAAAATTATCTATTTTGGTCA